GCCTCACCGCTGCCCCACCCCCGCCACGCTACCTGTGCTCTTTCTGCCGTTTCTCCTGCTTCTTCCTGTCCTTCCGGCGCTTCCTGGCCTCTTCGTCATCCTCATCTTCCTCTCCAGCTGCGGGAGGGGGGAGAAGGAGAGAAGACGTGAAACGAGGAGACAAACCGAGGATACGGGCAGAGGGAGAGGGGAGGGGCGCAGGGAAAGGAGTGGGCGCAGAGCTCTCTTAATCGGCCGTGCGCATGGGTGAGGAAGGCGTAACCGGATCCACCCCCTTTCAGACCGCTTCTTCCAATTCAGGGTCGCAGGGGAGCTGGAGCCTATCCCAGCAAGCAACGGGCACAAGGCAGGATACACACTGGACAGGACACCAGTCCATCAGACACACACGGACACAGATGCTCACACACTCACACCAGGGCCAATTTTCCCAGAACCCAATTAATCCACCAGCACTTCTCTGGACTGTGGGAGGAAACCCACATGAACACAGGGAGAACATACAAACTCCACGCAGACAGGACCCCAGGAACTGAACCCAGAGCTGCAAGGCAGCAATGCTGACCACTGCACCCAAGTGCCATCCTAGCATTGAATTAGTTAATGTCTATTAATGACTTAATAGCATGTTGTTGTCGTTAGTTCAGAGAGAACTGAAGAGGATCAGAACTGCACATAAATGATTCATTTGGTATTTCTGCCTTAGATAACGGACTTTGCACCTAATCAAAGATCTAATTGATCTAACTGTGCAGACCCACAGGCACAAAATGCATAACAATCAAAAGATCAAAACATAAACCTACTTTTCTTTTTCTTTCCTCCATCTTCTCCACCTTCCTCGCCTTCCTGCAGAAAGAGCAGCGCGACTTGTAATGAGACACATGACCGTAGGGACAAGAGCGTGTCAGTAGCCTTCACAGTGTCCCCCTGCGTGGGCTCGGGGAGAACACACAGGAGCTGACGTGGCTGCACGAGTCACGCCAAGCGCAGCGCCCTCTCTCCCTCGCCAGCAGGGATCGAGACAGGACACAGACCGCACTCACCTCGTCTTCATTCTCTTCCTCCTCACCTGGAGACAGAACAAGAGACATAGACGCCATCAGTGACCGCCATAACTTCCCCTGGGATCCACATCGGGCCACTTCATGACATCAGCAAGCCCAGACACCCGCAGTCCCAGCCAGAGCTGTCATGCCTGGGTGGTGCAGACCCCCGTACCATTCCTCCAGGGATCTGGGTCCCACTCCAGACTGGTGCACCAGTCTGAAACCAGGTTACTGCTGCTTAAAGCCGTCCCTGTCCCGATGGGGAAGAGGGTTTCCCCCTCCCCAGCGAGTACAGAGCTAAAACAGCAAGATGGGGCAAATGGCCTCTTCCCACCTGTGGCTTCTCCAATCAGCCCACTGAAACCTGGACACCCTAAGCATTGGCACGCAACTGCCCGAGCACCAGCGATGATTAGTGTCCGAGTCAGCCTGGATGGCCTCGCTCCCTCAAGCCACAGAGAACCCCACCATGGATAGCCGAGGTACCAGCAGTGCCCCACCTCCAGGGGGCGCTCACTGTGCTCAAGGCCTGCTAAACCCAGAGGTCCAAACTTAAAACAAACTGTTCTAAAAGCTAAAATAACCAATTGTGCAAGCCACAGCAGCGCAGGACGGTTCACTCAGGATGCCTCGCCCCTGCCCGCAGCCTCACCGTATTCCGAATCCTCTCCTTCCGAGTCTGTCCGCCGGAATTTGCTGTCTGGTTCATCAGATGCCTGGGAATGCCGCCTCTTCCTCCCTTCAAACTGTCGGTACATGGGCCCGCCACGCTGCCTGGGCTGAGCGACCACACACAAGACACACGGGAACAGGGAGCAGAGTTATCAGGCAACATGACAGTCTCTACAGTTACAGGTCTACAGGTCTGAGGATGATGATGATGGGGTGTTACTGTGAAGATCCAGAGGAGCTGGACTGAGTGTCTCTACAGTTACTCTACAGGTCTGAGGATGATGAGGATGGAGTGTTACT